TCACCTTGCACCACCAAACCGCATAGGTAGCTGGGGTAAGAAGCCCATGCCTTCTATCAACACAGCGATTGCTTCCATGGGGAGCAATATTGCATCCATTGGAACTACGCATGCTCGAAGCGGCTCTGTTAGTGGCAGCGGTACCCCTGGAGGCTCTATCACATCACCCAAGAGCCCCTTTAGTGGTCTTTCCGTGAAAAAGTCGATACGTCGCCCCCGAAGCAAATCCGAGCTTCCTAAAGCCACCCCGGTTGGCATGCAGACAGAAAGCCATCCCACTCTCGTATCGATGTGGAAGCGTGAGACGGGAGGCCCACCTGTAGCAGCCCTAGCCAAAACAAAACATGCCGACTTGGATGATGATGATGACGACGACGACGATTTCAGCGATGAAGCTGATATGAGGACGAACCCCAACATCATTGACAACATCACCCCCAACCTTGAAGGGTTCCAGCAACACATCATTGACCTGAACCCTGGCCTGGCGACTTCCAACACTTTTCTGGTTGACCGCATCGCATACCATCAAGTTCAGCGATACAAATACTTACTGAAGAACAAGGTTGCTCATATCGGCCTTGGTGCTGCATGCAACTCTGGAATAATGTGCGTTTCTAGAGGCGGCTCTGCTACCTTGTTGGACCAGAACAAGAACGTACGAGAGCTAGATCCTCTTTCATCACCAAACGATGATGAGGATGGTTCTCCGGTTGAAGGTGCTATCAATACCGAGAGCTTCCCCCAAGATATTCCAATGCCCCCAACTTCTCACCTTCCAGCTGAGTTTGAGTGCCGACTTTGCTTCGCTGCCAAGAAGTTTATGAAACCATCTGACTGGACTAAACACGTCCATGAAGATGTTCAGCCTTTTACTTGCACTTGGGACAAATGTCCTGGACCAAAGATGTTCAAACGCAAAGCTGATTGGGTACGACACGAAAACGAAGGACACAGGCAGCTTGAGTGGTGGACTTGCGATGTCGAAGCCTGTCATCACCAGTGTTATCGCCGTGATAATTTCCTTCAGCATCTCGTTCGAGAGCACAAGTACCCTGAGCCAAAGGTCAAGAGCAAAGCTGCGGTCAAGAAGGCGGGCGGCTCTGAGCCGACATGGCAAAAGGTTGAACAATGTCACCACGAGACTACGAAGAAGCCACACGATGAGCCGTGCCGTTTCTGTGGAAAGACATTCCCGACATGGAAGAAATTGACGGTCCATCTGGCCAAACATATGGAGCAAATATCATTGCCCGTACTTCGACTGGTAGATGCAAAAGCCAGTGAACTGAGCGCAGACACTGTTATTAGCCCAGTACAGGACCCTCCGCCACGCAACATATTGACCACGCCCATTCAGACTAATATGCCGACGCAATATCCCGTGGGAGGACAACACCAACAGATTCCGCCGGCAACTCCACAGATCTATCAGAACCACAGCCAGAACCAAATGGCGTATCCTGTGATGCCGACGGAGGCCTACCACCACCAACAGCATCAGCAAGGATTCTACACTGACCAGTATACCAACGCCAGCAACGCCTCCCATAACTTTCCCTCGACACACGCAGAGATGGGAATGCATCCGATGAACAACCAGAGCTTTAATACTGCACCCATGCAGGAAATGGTTGCGAGCAGTGCTGGCTACCAGCAAAATGCCTTTATGATGCCAAATAGTGGGCTGGAGACATATAATCAAATGAACCCCCTAGGGCTTCAAAGCCATGCAATGCCCATGGGACAAATGGGACCGATGGTGTATGATGGGATTACAGACCCTTCGAGTGGAAATGGGAGTCCTTTCAGTGGACAAGGATCCATGTCGCCTTACTCTCACTCTCCAAATCTGAATGCCAACACTGGTAACGGTATGTGGGGTGATAGACGCATGGCTGGATACCAGTAAGAACGGCCACTGTGCCGGCAGTTTGGATACCTATTCCTATTTATGAAGGCGCTTTGTGTTCTCGAAGCCACACACACACTACATGCTGTCTTGTTCAATTATGACTGAAAAAGGGGAGGATGAGAAAATGTGTTTTTGGATACCATGATGATTCTCACGGCAACGAATTTGTTTTACAGGCGATAGCCTTGTTTCTTTTTTTTTGTTCTTCCTGAATGAATAGACTAGGTAGGGCTTGCTGTTTGGTCTACGGTGTTGTGTTGAAGGATGGATGTCCTGGAGTGGAGTGACCGATATTGCGGTATTATGAACTAAGAAAAGAAGGGAGGGAGGGAGGGTTTGGAACAGGACGCGGCGTCTGGATACAGCACTTATGAATGCAAATAGTCTCTCTAAACTCTCTGATCTGCACCTTGGCATTTCTAAATATACCAGATATATGCATCTTTCTTGGTCAAGATGGAGGCTCAGCGGAGGCCGCCCTTCGCGTGAGCAAAGTGCTTACGAGTCCCTGGGTCTGATAGTCCGCATCCAGCAGGGTAAAAGATGGAGCGAGTGCAAAGCTAAGCTTTTGGATTCGAAAAGGAGTGCAGGGTGCCGAGGAACGTGGCTTGGGGGATCAAGGGCCAACACATGATGTGGAGAATCTTGAATAATAGTCGAGCACCATAGAAGGATATCGGTACATATTATAATGCACTAAGTGTTTGAGATTGATGGCGTCAAGATGCTTCTCATTTCCACGGCAATAGGGCAAGGAGGATTTGAGAATCCAATTTACCGCTCTTTCGCTCCGTAGTGTTCCTTCATGAGCTTGATACCCTTATCTTTTGTTTCTCTCTTAATTTAATTTATTGCGCCGCTTCATGGGAAGCAATTGCCATCGTCAGGGATTCAATGCTAGTAGCTGGGATACTCGGATTACCGAGATTTGCAATGGCCTGGTCGCGTGAATGATCCAGGCTCGGCAGGAAAACGATGGATTAGGCTTGTTAGATTATGGGAAGCTGTTTCTATCTATGGTATAGAAATGTAATAACCTGGCGGTGATTGCGCTGGGGAGGCTATATTGGCGGTTCATCAAAGACGGTGACCTCTAGCAAGAAGCATTGACCTCAATCTGCTACTCCATGGATCTTTGAACTTGTGAATTAGTGATGACGATCATGAATTCAAGATTGTGTAAACTTTCTGCTTTGTGTGACCTGAGTTAGTGATGACACTTTACGAGACGATTGAGTTTTGGGTCGTGTGTTAGTCGATACATAAAACGTAGTGTCCCTTAGCCACGGGACACTCTGAGACGTGATTTGTGTGGAAAGTCACACCTGCAGAGTTGAGCGGATGAAGGGTGAAGAGAAGGATTGTTAACGTTTGTAGAACGCAGGCTATACCTTGTACTTTGTACGTACGCACTTGTGCATAGGTAGTGAGGATATGAAGCTTGGACAGTCATGGTATGAGATGGTTTATAACAAATCCTGGCCAGAAGAGTCAAAGGGTGTCCACTGTGATTGTTCCTTATGCAAATATTGGCTCGAGACTAGTAAATGATCGATCTTTGTCTGCTGAGTCGCGAGATAGTAGGAGATATTTAACTAGTACCTCTATTATTAGTTCTCAGCTCATCATCCTCAGTAATTCAGTCCGAGAACTGCCCCAAGAGCTGTGAAAACTCTTCCTTACACGGTTTTGCTTCTAGACACACGATGGATGCATATTCATACGCATTTTCGTACATACACAAACCAGTTCTCATCAACCAAGTTTTTCGACCTCAACTGGCTGGTTTCAGAAGAAGCTGGGGTTGACGTTAGCTTGGCCCGAGACTGGTCAGCCACCCGCGAGGGAAACCCCTGCAGCAACAAGCTTGGCCTCCGTTAATTGTCCGTGATTGGTCAAGCCGTCGACGAACCACCAAAATACCCCCTGGCCCCTGGGCATGGCGGTCTCAGGGGTTCAACTTCTTTTCGGTGTATGGGTCGATGGAAGAGGAAGTGGGTGGGATCCGTCTCATGGATGATTCAAATTGTCCACTGAAAATTATGATTTGGGGACTTTGGAGGGGACCCTGGACGCTAAAGAGTTGGAGGGACTCCTGGCGTGAGGCTCTCTCTCTGTACAGCACTTCCCCCCCCAATAGGTACCATCTGGAAGCCGTGGTCCAGGGCGTCGCTTCAACCTCGTCACCCCCTTCTTTTCCACTCCAAACCTTGCATCTCCTTGGCTTCCTTGCTCGTCTCGTTCATCCTTTCTCCTCTTGGGGCTTTCTCCTCTTTTTTTTGCTCTCATCTTTGCCTTTTACTGTACTCGTCTCCCTGTTGGCTTTTGAATCTAGTCCTTCCCTCTTCTCCCTCTTCCTACTCTCATCGTCTCATATCTCTCTGTTTGTTGCGTTATAACCTCGAATAAACAAGAAGCGTCTCTGTTTTTCTTTCCAACTCTCTCACACTCTCTATTGTATTGTTTTGTCAACTATCTGATTTTGCCGTCCGTACAAGGACATGCTGCTTCCTTTGCGGCATTGTCGACTACTAGCCTCTCATTTCAGCGTCACATAGACAGGAAAACACCAAGCCAACTACACACAACCACCAAAATTAGACTCGACGACGACCTCATCACGTCTCCAAAACAGGCTCTGGTCTCACGACACGAAACACCCTCGAACGACTTTAACGCCGGCACGTTGGACATTCACGGGTTTTCAGGCAATTCGTTGCCCCTTATCTTCTCTTCTTTCCAGGTTGATCCTCGGCCTACTTCTGTGCGCGTGCTTGCACTGCTTTGCCGACACCTTTGAGATATCTTTTTCATCTCGGACATTCATTGTTCTCTTTTTCCATATCGCTTTTCTATCCTCATATTTCATTCGTCGTCTCTTGATACCATTCCTTAAAGTCTTGTTCCGTCAAACGAATTCCAACTATTCCTCGATCTTTTCTACTCTATATCCCATCCTTCTTTGGATATATCGACATACCTATTCACGAAAGAAACTTCCTCAAGCTGATTCCTCGATCAATCCCGAACGAGCCACGAATTTCCCGTATTTCTGTAGTATCATCTTGCACGACATACACTCAATATGACCTGCCTTCACTCTAACTGGAGTGCCTGGAAGGTGGCCGTAACGGCCGCGACCCTCGTCGCCGGGGTTCTTGGTGACAACATTCTCAAGACATCTGGTGTTGCTGACTGCGGTTCAGAGCCCGGTATCAGCATTGACAAGTTGGATATTAGTTACGACAACGATAAACAAACTGTCACTTTCGATGTTGCGGGTACCAGCGACAAGCAGCGAAATGTCTCGGCCATCCTCGAAGTCAACGCATATGGCCGCAAGGTCTACGAGAATTCAATCAACCCCTGCAGCAAAGACACTCCCATCCCACAGCTCTGCCCTCTCCCCGACAAGCATTTCGCTGCCGCTGGAAGCCAAAAGATAGACTCGGAGTGGGCCAACAAAGTTCCTTCCATTGCTTTCCAGGTCCCTGATATCTCAGCTCAAGCAACTCTCCGACTCGTATCAGTCGACAATCCCGAAGAGCAGGTTGCGTGTTTCCAGGCTCAGGTCGGCAATGGAAAGACGGCCTCGGTTCCCGCAGTCACTTATCTTTCTGTTGGTGTTGTTGGCGCCGCCCTTCTCGTCTCGGGTGCATCCGCAGCTTCGTCCGCTCTTAGTGGTACTGCAGGCGCTGGACATGGCGGTGCTCCTAGTCCAAGCTTTGCCGAGACTCTCGGATGGTTTCAGGGTATGGCCATGAATGGCATGCTTTCAGTGGACTACCCCCCTGTCTACCGCAGCTTTGTCAAGAATTTTGGCTTCTCAGCCGGTATCATCCCATGGGAGTCACTGCAGAAGTCTATCGATAACTTCCGTAACATGACCGGAGGTGATCTCACCAACGACAGCTTCGACGTACTCAGAAATGCTACACTGGTCTTCTCCGATAACTCTACTAGCCCTCCCGAGGATCACTCGTATAAAGTTAAGCGCGCTTTCAACACTTTTGAGTCCTTGGCCAACCTGGCCATCCGCGGCGTCGAGACTTCAGTGGGAGATGCGTCGGAGAGTGAAGGTGGGCAAAGCCTCAAGAACCAGACCCTCTCGGTTGCTGGAATCTCAGCCTACGTTCAGCAGTATAGTGTTCCCAAGTCCAACACTTTTATGACGGTTCTGCTCGTTGTCGCCATCATCATCGCGACCATCATTGTCAGTATTCTTCTCGTCAAGGCCATCCTCGAATTCTGGGCTCTGTTTGGCAGCTTTCCGCAATCTCTATCTGGATTCCGTGAGCATTACTGGGGTTCCATTGCCCGAACCATCACTCACCTAATTCTCGTCCTCTACGGTATCTGGGTATTGTATTGTGTGTTTCAGTTCACAGTGGGTGACTCATGGGTCGCACAGCTATTAGCTGGTGTCACGCTTGCAATCTTTACAGCTATCCTTGGTTGGTTTACTTGGAAAATCTTCAGTACAGTCAAGAAACTGAAGAGCACTGAGGGCAACGCTGATGCCTTGTACAACGATAAGGAGATTTGGGTCAAGTACTCTCTTTTCTATGAGTCCTACAAGAAAGACTACTGGTGGATCTTCATTCCCACAATAGTCTATCTCTTTGCAAAGGGCTGCACTCTCGCTGTTGGCGATGGCAATGGCATGGCTCAGACCATTGCCCAGCTTGTCGTTGAGTCCATTTTCTTGTGTCTTCTCGTCTGGACTCGACCCTTCGAGCGAAAGTCTAGCAACATCATTGGCATCGCCATTCAGTCGGTTCGCGTCCTGTCTGTTGCTCTCATTCTTGTCTTTGTTCATGAGCTCAAGATTCCCCAGGACAGCAAGACAATCGCTGGTGTAGTCCTCATCGCAGTCCAGTCTGCTCTGACTGGTCTCTTGGTCATCCTCATCATCTGGAACGCGATCAATGTTCTCGTCAAGGAGAACCCACACCGCAAGCGAAGAAAGGAGATGGGTAAGTCAATTTGAAAAGCATAAGCCATTGAGGCATACACTGACAGATCTTGCAGAGAAAGCCAAGCGTGATATGGACACTCTCACACCTCTGGATGCCCGGAATTCTCTGCTCCTTGACCGCAAGGACAACAACAACATCTCCATGTTCGCCATGCCTGCTCCTCAAGAAAAGGTCTCGGGCCGATCCATGTCCCTTGACCAATACAGGGACGCTGAGTCAGGATATCAACAACCACCACCGAACTACCTGTCTTCGAGCCCCCCTATGCAACGAAACCTCACCAACATGGAGCACAACAACGACTCTCAGTATCTGATGGACAACGCAGCACCTGTAGCGTGGACCAACCGAGACCCAAGTCCAGTGGGCATGGGAAGATACGACTCTGGAGATACCAGCTACAGCCCTCTCAACAAGCAACAAACATATGGGTATGGAAATGGAGGTGGTTATAGAGGGTTTTGAGGAACAGCTGGCAACGGTTGAGTCTCACTATCCATAATGCAGTTTACCTAGCATACTCGGATATGCTTGTACAGCTAACGCCATCTGGCCCTTATCTATTCGATATGATCTTTGGCTAGTTGTACAAAAAGAAAAGACTATCAAAGCTTGGGTATCTCACGCCTACATTTTGGAGACGGAGTACAAAAGTACTCGAGGTTTACAGCGAAAGACTTTATTTACTACGGAAGCGCATCAAATCATTCATTTTTGTCAATAGAACCTTTTAACTATGCAAACAGCACTCTCAATTGTATCCTTCGTAAATTCGATTCAACATAACAACGCTCCCCCTTCGTCTTTCACTACTCTCCATGTGTGAGCAGGTAAGAGTTGGATATCGCCTTGAAGCTGAACTGCCCATCCTCGCGCTTGAACACAATCCCCTCCCTCTTCCGCCCATTTATTCCCCTCCCTTCCGCTCGATCAACTAGATCTGTGATCTGCGAACCCATCTCGTTCAGTGGCCGGTATCCATGGACAGGCACGTGCTCAACGCCCAGTAGTGGTGCCCACCTCTTATACACCTCCCTTGGTGGTAGGTATCGCTGCTCATCAATATCATACACTGCGAAGAGAAAAAAGCAATGTGTTCCCTTGAGAAATCCTTCAAAATTACTCTGTATGCTCGACCCGCAAAGTTCACCCTGTAGAGCTATGTTACGCCCGATCTTGGGCAGTTTCTCGTGGAGGTTGAGTGCCCGCGCGGTGGCGTAAAAGAGAGGCGGGATTCGCGGATGATTCTCCACCAGAATACGATTCCGCGAGCAAACTGCCACGCCGTTATGTCTCGTCTCGCTAGGGACTGTCTTGGCGAGAGGGTTACCGTCGTTGAGGTAAAAGACTGTCGTGGATGAGCCGTCCATCTTGGTCGACTCCTCAAATATCTCAGTACCATGCTCACTGAATACATCTGTGAGGTTCTGCACGCGCTCCTGATTTGTTCGTGGTATAAAGTCAGGATATTCAGGCAAAGGTGCGTCTGACGTCGAAGTCTGGTGAAGTGGTATGGCAGGCTTCTCGAATTTCCTCACGTTGAGAATGTCCTCAAATGAGATGTCCCGTAGCTTGTCTGATGGAATTCCATCCAGTTTAGCAACTATTTCCGGAAAGTCGGCCAAAGGCAATAGAAGCCCCTGCGACAACACGCCCCGAATCTGAATAGTCTGGACCCGGATATCCGGTGCGGAAGTGGGACCGCCCGGCCCGATGATCTTCGGCGCCAGAGGAGCAAATCGCGGGTCCGTGGCCGGTAGAAGCGAGTCTATTTCGAAGAATACAGCGCGATCCCCGGCTTTAAAGATGTTGGTGGGAACGACGCACGTCCAACCGTCGACAGTGGCAGCCGCAATACGGTCTGCCCGCGGGATGGCTGTTATAGCCGAGACATGGCGGACTGTCACTAGCTTTCGAGGCATAATTAGTGGAGTGTGTCCTAGAGAGCCGATTCCCAAAGAAGAGCTTGAGAGGCTTTGAGGAGGAATCTCTTCTTATAAGCGTTGGAGGGGCCAGTGAATCGATGATGTGACTCAAATGCAAGGATCACATAAGTTGTACGTGAAAAAGTTGAAACGGCCTGAGTCAATGTCGTTAATATTAGGCCGTGCTTTCTGCCCTACGGGGATGAAGGATCGTGCGAGCCGCAAAAAGGCAGGCATTTGAGCCTATAAGATAATGAGCTGCACATACAAGCAATTGATTCATAGAATGCAACCAACGAGCTGAAAAATAAGTCATCGGTGAGGCCTTTTCGAAATGTAAACGAGCTAAAAGCCTGATTAGGTGGTTTAGCTCTGGTACAGGAACTATTGATGCAGATCTTACAGGCACATAAATTCTGCCAGGAATATTGAGTTTGCCGGATGCTTGGAAATGTGATCGACGAGATCTGAGATAAGCTGTCACTACGGCTGCAACGTGGTATGCATAACGCTTGGTGCTGATCCTTTTAAGCTCAGCGAGATTATCAACAACTATAACAGGACGCCGTGGGACACCGGACCTCATTGGGGGGAAAAAAGATGATGGTATTTCTGTTCTATCCTGCTGCCAGTGGAAACCATGGCGGTTGTCATAACCTGAAATCGCACCGCGATGCTTTAAGGCCAATTAAAAGGAGCAGAGGCCGCTTCTTAGCTCCAATGATTATTTATCTTCTCCCCAGATGCATTATGTTGAAAGGGCGAGACACGCATCAACAGCTAGGCCGACCCTATAGAAACACGTCAGCTTCAGCCCAAAGAGATCGATTTGAGGATCACTTGCCTGCCCTCCTTCTCGTAAACCACATCACTTATGACATCCTTGTCCAGGTCAGGGAACATGCCTGCTAATGTTTCGACAACATTTGCATGCTCTGCACGGGAAAGTCGCTGCGCCTCGGCCGCTTCAGCGCTCGCCTGTCGTGCGGCAGCCTCTTCTGCAGATAATGCATGTTTCGAAGGTACTTGTTGATGTTCGCGAGGCTCCTCACGGCTGAGACGCTCCGGTGGCGCCGGGGTCCGAGGCGCACTACTAGGCCCGGGATCCATGGAAGGGCCAGGGTCATCAGAGAACATTCTCCCAATGCTGGAAAGAGGTTTCTGTATAGTCTTGAGAAGACCAGTGATGGCAGCTTTCTCTTCGCCCGAATACTCGTCATTCGAGGTTGAAGTGCGTGGTCCGTCAAGAGAAGGACGCGCAGAAGTTTCTCCGGGAAGAGGTCCAGACTTCTCGTTGAATACTGGCTGTTGGGTGACTGGCGGTGATTGAGCATGCTTTTCAGCAATTGCTGACACAGCCTCTTCCACATGCTTCTCAAACTCTTCGTCAGTAATCGTTAGAGTAGTTCTATCCATGTTTTCAATGAACTGAACAGCACCCATCTATAATATGTTAGATTGTGACTACTTCAAGAGCAAACTAACATACCAACGAGGACAAGTAGTAGCCTGCTTCACCACCGAGCTTTTCCTGGTTCCTGAAGCGCAATATGTATTGCACATTAGACACTAGGTGCTCTGGATTTGATTGCAGTACAACATAAATAAGGAGGGGCATGAAGGAGTCAGCTGAGGAATCAGACTTGTTATGTTTTAATAAACCTGTCAGTCGTCAATATAGCCATGCAACTGTAACCTTTCAGCTGTCTTACCAAAGATCACCTTGCAACAGTTCAACACACAAATGATCTTGTCTCGCGGTGCTCTGTAGGATTTTATTTTTAGCAGCTCTGGATCATGTTAGTAAATACCGACAGTCTGTAATGTTGAACTGACCTTGCTGGGCTAATTTCAAAAACCGACGTCCACTGTCGCCGACTGGCGGGATGTCCAAATGTTCTTCCTTCACCCAGCCATAAATGCTCATCTTCTGTCTAACAATGTCATCTCTCTCGACATCCTCTTGGTGTTGGCCTCGCCTACCGGGGCCAAGAGGTATATCGCCGCCCTTGCGCTTCGGCTTCGCCCCAGGGATCGGTTTGGGCGCTTGGATTGCAGGCGAAAATGTCTGAGTATACAGTCTGTTCATGACTAGCTTTTCCATTCCCTCACGAGCATTATCGAACTCCGCGTCAGATACATCCCTCCAGACCTCGCATTGTGCCATCTTGTTGGCAATAAAGGCCAGAAAATCCCCTATAATCTTGACTTGCTCATGCACCATCCATTGCCGTTTGCCAAACTCAGAGAGGAAAGACTTGAGGTACCTTGCCACAGGATCTGCCTTCTTGTTTCGTAATTGCTCGAGAAACCGATGGAAATCAAAGGGTTGAGTAGGCTCTGGCTCAGGCTCAGGAGGGGGCGGCCGGTGCGACTGCGCTGGCGAGCTTGGAGAAGCAACGCTCATGTTCCGCTCTATTTTAGGACGTGGAGGTGTTCCGTGAACACCATCCTTGGGTGGGACAGGTGGCCCCAGATCCTCGACCCCAGTGTTGTTTGGGGTCTCGGCTGGAGGGGAACTCGTGGAGATGTGTAGGCCCTGCATCTGACCAGAGAGCGTAGGCACAAGAGGTTCCAGACTAGACTTTCGAGGAGGATGCTGAACGGGATGGCCTAGCATCGGCGAGGCAATCTCCAGTCTGGGACTCATGACTTCTTCTTCACCAGGGCCACCACCAAACTCGCTAAACTGCTCCATGATGCTCTGAATTTCGGACTGTGAACCGCCTTCGTGCTCATCTTCACTGACATATCGTCTCTCATCAAACTCTGCGTCTGATTTAGGAGGGGTAGAATCTCCAGAGACATGGGAACGCGCAGCATTTGAAGGGGTCCGCGAAGGCGGCTGAGAGGTTATTGGGGTCGCAGGCGTGGGGTCAACATAAGTGGATGGTTCGGCGGTGAGGTATTGTGTAGTAGCATCATTCGACGAGGGTAATGCAATAGGTTTGATTTTGCCCGCTGTTGAGGCGTGAGTGTTCAAGTAACCGCTAGGAGCTCGAGAATCATCGGCAGCTTGCTTTTCTTTGAGCATTTCTGAATGACCTTGCTCAGCGGCGTCAGCCTTATGTTCGTGTGATGGAACGTCAGCTGCCTGATCACCAAAATCGATCAAACTGTCCTCCTTTCCGGTCTTGTCCTTGGAGCTCGATCCATGGCTATGATTATCAGAGGTTCCAGGCGTCCCTGCCGTAGGGTCCTGAGCAGACATCAACTCGACATTGGGTTTGTTAGACAGCGTCTCGTCTAAGACCGGCTGGCTAGATGAAGCTGTGGACTGCTCCGGCGGAGACATGCAAAGCTTCTGAAGGTTCGACGGCGAGGTAGCTGTTTTGGAGAATCGGGCCCAAGGCGAAATGTTGACTTGTGTAAGACAAGATGGTGCCCATTCGCTGTTCTACGACCGAAGGTTAAGCTGTATCGTGGGTCTTGGGAGAGCGGTGGTCATCGACGTCGATAAGGTCAATAAAGTTTAGGGTTGATAACAAATCGCTTCGCAGGTGATCAACTACCACAAAAAGATTGTCGTTGGCGATGTTGTCGGGTCAGCGTCTTCGGATTCTTGGAGTTCAACAATGGATGCTTCTAGGTAAGGTAGTTAGAGCCGAAGCGTAACTACAGCAAGCTGGATGGAGCACATGGCAGGACCCCTCATTCTCCATCTTCCAAGCTAGGCTTCCTTCCAGCAACCAGTGCCTCAGCTTTTGGTCAGGCGCACACTTGTTTGGAGCTGTTCCATGAAGTGGGGCGCTTAGGCACTTCTTTGGGGAGCTTGGTTATGGTTACAGTGTGTTTACAGGGGGGCGTACCTCTGACGTCGCGATAGTTACAGGGGATATGATTCAGTGTAAGTTACAAGTCTTTCGGACAAGCTGTGATCCGACATTCCTCCAGAACTTCCTAAGACTGCAGTCTCAACAACGATGAAAAATACAAGGACAAAATTAGAGGCACAAGGGTAAGATTTACCCCTGAGAGTAAAAATGGGCAAAAGTGAAAGTTGCTGGAAGGGAGGTTTGAACTCCCGCCTCTTTCGAGAGTGGTGTTAAATAGATTAACTTAAAACCACCGCCTTAGACCACTCGGCCATTCCAGCTCTGAAGAATGTAATAGAAAGTTCAGCCACTACAGTCAGATATACTGGTTGGACCTGGTTTATGTCAATCAGCTGAGAGCTGAGCCACCACCATCAATCCCCTCACCAAAGGAGTCACCAGACTTAAGGCGTCGGCGTAGGCAGTATGTTAGAGATATAAAGCCAGTGTTTTTGATGCTTCGATTGGCCACTATAGAGTGCCTTATCATCCTCGAACAGACATTATCCATCTAAATCGCCTTCCATAATGTCAACAGCAATTTCAGTCGCTCCCTATCGCCAAGTTCGTGCCTATTACAATGACACCACTGTAACAGTGTACCAAGCCTACAAAGAATCCATTGCTAAAGCTGCTGTAGATACGCAGAAGCTCAATGCATCCCCAGATTTCAAATCAGGTCGAATGACATGGATCAAGCCCAGTTGGGCATGGATGATGTACCGCTCCGGATACTCTTACAAAGACCCTGGCCAATCCCGCATCTTGGCTTTGCGAATGAAACACGAGCACTTCATCACCCTCCTTGAGCGAGGTGTGCTATCAAGCCACGCTCATAAGCTCAGCCCTGGCGAGAAGCGTGAAAAGACGGTTGATGTGAGGATTCAGTGGGATCCTGAGAGGACAGCGAAGCTAGAGGTACTGCCATATAGGAGTATTCAAATTGGCATTCCAGGAGCCTTAAGTGAGCAGTGGGCGAATGAATGGATTGTTGAGATTGAGGATGTCACGGATAAGGCACGTGAGCTGAAGAGGGCGATCGATGAGCGGCCAGGCATCACCGACGAAGAACTGCTGGGTATGGATCTGATATTCAAGGAGAGGCCGTTCGAGGTGCCAGAAGCAGTTCATAACAAGCTGGAAATGACAGATGTTCCTGTATAGTATTAACAAGCGAAATCCCGAAAGAAGTCGGTGTGTATCCTCAAAACCAGGTATTGACTTTCCGGCTGTTCTCAATCTCCAAAGTCAAACTATAGAATAGACTCGAATACCTGCTCTCAATTCCAATTTTCGCCGTCACGATATCTGGAACTCTCCACTCCAGCCTTCGCTGTGTTTTGTCCAAAACTCTTGAAAAGTCCTGCTTTGCAATCCAAGTCTGTTCTTCAAACGCGTACCACGGTGAGAAGTAAAGAGGCATCGTTTGAAACGGGTTTGGGGGCAAGGGCTCTAATCCCATGACCAAGCACTGCCTGGCATCTGAACTTCCTAGGTCAAGCTCCAACACCCCCAGAACGATGGATGCTTGTAATGACCCAAGTGAGGGACCAGGTGCTAAGTCAAAGTTAATCTCATATGACTCTGGCGTAGTGGAGGGACCGCTTCGAGCATCGACAAAATATTGCCATGTTGGTGATCGTGAGCGCACTCTGACAACCATCTTACTCTCCTTTGCAAGGCCCTTCATCTCCGGGCGAAATATCACACCCTTCAAATATCGTAGGTCCGGAGTGCTGTGTGGTACGAAGATCTGTCGCGGAATGGCCTCCTGCAGAACATCTTTTTGGCCATTTCGTATCATGTTCAAGAGTTCATCGGGAAGAATGATGCTGTTCATCATGGACAACGCTAATATATCTGGTCTAATCCGCACAAAATGTGAGTTTCTGTCCCACGCTGCCCTCTGAAGGAGGATAGCCGGGTTGATTGATGTCTGGCCTCTTCGAAACTCGCAGTTCAAGAAGGCCAAGAAAATGGTCCCAGACATATCGATTGGGAACGGCGTTAATGGAAGCTCTAAATCCAGTCCACGGTTTGTCATAGACATTGAACTTCCTGACCTGAGAGATAGGTATTTGGACCTCTGAGGCACCATGCCATTAAGATCTTTTGAGGTCTGGCCGAGATCGAAAGCTGAAGGGCTGTTTGCAAGAAGGCTCCAATACGTTTTCCCTTCGACCCGATATCGAGGCTGCCGCCAAGCAAAAATTGACTCATCATCGGTAGATTTAAGAATCTCTTCTTGTAGCCGCTTGAAAGCTTTGGCTTGACCTTCCCCATAAAGCAAAGGCATGTTAATATCGAATATACCCAGTAGGCAATAAGCAATGTCTTCTGGCCTCGTTGTCTCGCGTCCAGCAGCCCAGAACATCTTCTGAGCGACAGAAAACTCACTAAGCTGACGTTGTCTGATTCCCGCCATATGATGTGTTGCGTCGAGAAGCTCATAATTAATCCCAGTGGCACTCTTTATGTCTTCTTTGAGCTCAGCTCTGCTACCCAGCCGCTGCCAGTTTCGTCCATAGAAAATGACCTTTCCCGGTGCGATGAGCTCTTGAAGTGTCCAGCCTCTGGTAAACCAACGACTGTTTATGAATGTCTTTCTCCGTTCCTCTTCAGACTCTGAGGGGAGAACATCCTCAAGAAAGACGATACAAATGGTCGATTCAGCATACCAACGAAACATCGAGTTGATAGCTTCAGAAAGCTCGGCACTGCTACTTTTATCGATACAACAAGTATCTATCCATAAATAGTCCAACTTGAAAGAGCGTGCCATTCTGCAGCTCTCGCGTAACTTGCTATAACGTTCAAGATGAAGGGCTTCCTCGGGACCATCTGAATCAACATCCTTGAAAGTGACTTCATCATCACCCCAGACGTGGGATAGGATGGCATATCGACGTGATCCACCAGGATAAAACTCAAGCTGAAGAGTATGTGTGTTTATGAGTCTCATGCCGAGCTGTATCTTCGAAATAAACTGGTGGTAGTCTTGGGTTGCTCATCTCATGTCAGCTCAAGCTTGAAGTTGTTGAGAGTGGTGAGGACAAGCGGAAGTAACCTTGGGCAACAAATTCTCTGAAATGAGATATGAGAGTGTAATAGGGGAACTACGAAGCTGAAATTTGAACCATGTTCATTGTTAAAAGGTCATTCACAAGGTGGAATTGGTACTGATGAGGGACGTCGTCGCAAAAGCGACTAGATACAGTGTAACTTATTGAAGTTCTGCACTGTACACTTAAATCCATTTCAGGGCAATGGAACTAAAGGTGCAATATTTATTCTTAGATTAATATTTCGTTAATATCATTACTCGATAGTTCTATCTTCTCCCCATTTTAACCATTCACAACGGTACCGCCATTGCAGTGGATGGTCTGTCCACTAACACACGAGCTGTCACTCGACGCCAGGAAGACTACGCACGTAGCAATCTCTGATGGCTGAGCAGGTCGCCCCATGGGGCTTGTGAACTGCTTCTGCGCTTCGTCGTCCATTGTGGCGGGAATGAGAGGTGTCCAAACTATGCATTTTTAGTCGTATCACACGTTGGTGAGATTAGCTTAACATACCTGGTCCAGGAGCGACAGCATTAACACGAATGCCCTTGCTGACATATTGATTGCTGAGACCGCGTGTGAATGAAACAATTGCACCCTTTGTGGATGTGTAATCGAGGAGATCAGGGCGACCTATGTAGGCGTTGATGGAAGCATTGTTGATAATAGTTGCTCCAGCCTTCATGTGAGGGAGGGCATATTTGGAGATATAGAAGAAGGAGTGGATGTTGATGTTGAAGGTATGGATCCATTGCTCCTCGGGGAGGTCTTTGATATCCTGGACCATCATCTGGTCTAGCTCGATTGTCAGATATGCTCGATATGCTCGATACTGCCAGAAACACTTACAAGCTGCATTGTTGAATAGAATGTCAATTCCGTTCATTTTCTCCACGGCAAAGTCAACAAGTTTCCTGCAGTTCTCTTGCTTTGAGAGGTCAAGAGAGATAAGATGGACCTTGGCACCCTCGTTCTCAACCTGCTTTTTGGTGTCCTGAGCATCCTTCTCTTCCTCTGGTAAATAGGCGATGACAATATCCGAAACGCCCTCCCGACCGAACAGAAGAGCAGAAGCAGCACCGATGCCACTGTCGCCTCCAGTGATCAGTGCCTTTTTGCCTTTGAGCTTTCCAGAGCCTTGGTATGTCCTCGAATTGCCGCCGGCCTCAGGTACTTCGTCACGAGTGGCTTTGGGGTCGGGCATCTCCCTCTCAGTTCCAGGGAAGTCCTGGTGAGAGACGGGGATGTCCTTCTCTAGTTCTTGGTCAGTTGCTATATCGTTGAATTGTTGAAAGTGGGGAGGGAGAACTCACCATTCTTGAAGTTTTGAGTCGTCATTTTAGCGGTTGGATTATAGTCAATTGTGCAATGAACTTCTCGAGCTGGAGGGGATTGAAAATTCTTTCTATATCACTCGGAAGAGCCTCCTCTTTTTAATACTCGTCGTACAAGAACACACGGAGCATTCGATCCGAATCATGATGAAGATCGATCGATGACGACACTACAGTCGGGGTTGAACATTTCTTCGTCACAATAACGGGGCCAGCCAAGCAAGAATGCGCATCCATGCTGACAGCTCTTTTTTTAATCTGGCGTTTGGCTTTCCATCATGTGGGAGCTCCTCTATCGATTGATAGAAGATCGAGCTATCGACCAATGGTCATGGGCGTACGCTGGCTTATGCCGGCGGAAACTGGCACGATGGTTATGACCCTTTCGCTATCTTGTCGCGAACATGACGATCTTGTTGCTAAAAAGAGGGGCACATATGTGCGGTACCTTGTTCAAACCCCCAATGTCGATGAGATTGCTGTGACGTATAAAGTTGCAAACAATGGGACTTTCGGACGGCCGCCGACGCCTTTCATCTGTTCGGCACTGTCCGGAGCGGCCCCACTGTGCCGGACCGTCGCCTAATCGTGGTGTCCCGGCGACGCTCCTCACCAGGGAATCCCATTGTTGCACGAAGTACGGATGCATCGTGGAGCATCTATTTCCCCTCCCATCTGTGCACTTACGGATTGAGACTTTCAGTTGAGATACCGAAAAGGTGGTCAACCGAACATAGCTACAACATGCGTAGCGCCGGCCGGGTCATTCAACATAGTAATATGATTTGAGCCACACAAGACAGCAGGCAACATTGCAAGATGAATAGTAGGAAGCAAAACTGAATAAACCGTCTAAGCCAAAGAATATCCCGTACATAGCGTGCCTATGAACTGTATACGCGCAGTCTTGATCATCATCTCGTGCTGTTCTCTTTTTCCCATGCAACTATAATGTTCGTCTTTCAAACACAATGCCATTCCAAACTCAAATCGATAAAAATTCCCAGGACGCCAGGTTCCGTGTCATGCTCTGCTCGCCGATCGGTAGTATTGTTACAGAGCAATCGCGCCTCGACGGCTTTCTCGGGTATGGAGGAATCCTTGGAAGCCACAAAAGACGAAGAAAGCCTATTACTGTCAGTAAGATGCAAGATTGGGTTCGGGTTACGGATAGCCAATCTGTTTGATCGAGGAAGGACGTACAACATAGACGAGGACGGCGATGAAGATGGTGTCTGAAACTGCCTTGCCATCTTCGGGATCATCTACGCCGCCCGTGAATTCTTCATGGTTGCTTCGGTAGAGGCCCGCGAGAGCGCTGAGGATAACAATGGCGAAAACAGAGAGAACGGTGCTGGAAGTTTCATGTTAGCTTCATCATGGCAGTTCAAAGGGATTGGCGCACCATGACCACGCGTTAAAGGCGCTGACGACGGGCTTCATGATGTGGGTATATAGAAAGGGCTCAAGTATGGTTGGCCAATCGATGTATCGCTATGGGTGTGGTGGTGATGGATTGTTGTGACGACGTTGATACTGGGTCGCAGCTATAGCTCCGTTGCTGTTGGTGGTAATGCGTCAATGTCGCCGTTTAGCTCCTTTCCTGCCTCAGCAACAAGGCTGAAGAATGAGCCACTACCACGCACCGCCACATATTGAATGCGCCACTTTATCCAGCCAGATATTGATAGGCACGGTCGGGCTAGGCAGGCCCTAAAATTTCCGATGCGTACCTTTTATTATTATCAGGTACCTAAGGTAGGTATTATTAGTGCAAGATGCATGTCTCTGCGTTTATTCTATGTTAGTTTTTCTCTAACTTGTTCTGGTGCTGGCTAGGTACGCAGCATAGCAAACAGTGCTAACAATATACCTAAAGATGCTTACTTACACGGACGATCTAGGTTGTGAACCTTGCGAAATCCGAAAGAATAGCTGACGATCTTCCTCAAGCCGGAATTCGTGCTCAGAAGTGTAACATTGAAATTGTGCTATTATCTTGGCTGACGAGAGGCAACCACAATCATGGCGTGCAGTTTGAACACCTCCGAAACCTGAGAAACAACCCACAAGTTGTGTGGTCTAGCCATGGCCAATAAAACTGGGCAACTATTTCTGTTATTCTTGACCATGGAGGTTAGCTGAACTGTCTCGTGGTAATGTAGGTTGTAAGCATTATGGCGGCTACTAACATTGGAGCCCACCAAAAAGGTTAAGCCTCTGACTAGTACTCTTTATAGCAGAAATGTATTGGTGTCTTGAGCGACCTTGGCATTGGAGCTCTGTGCCTCGCGCTCCAATGGCTTCAGGCACACCTCTGCCCATAGCTCAACACGAAACGAAACGAAACGAAACATGCAAGCGCCATGTTGATGATCGCCAAACTACTGATCAAGAGAGCTACCGCGGAGGGTTCTATTCCGTCAGATCACGGCCTTGTCAGAGACTTTAGCTAAGTGGCCCTAATGAGGCAATACCAAGGCTCGGAAGTTGAGAGCATCTCATGAAAAGGAAATTTGTGATGCCATCATTACGCACACGTTTTGCTTGTTGTGCAACAGCGACACAAGCAGCAAGATCCCAAGCCAGGACTTAGTAAGATGGATGTTGCTTTTAGACGCCGTGTGAGGTTACGCAACCCTCCCTCTCTTGTTGCTTGTTGGCTGTCTGTCGCCTGTCAGCGATGCACCGTCCCCAGCACCCCTCCTGGCAAACACGGGGTTCCGTGTGCCGAAGAGCTTTCAAAGGGCTTGACCTGTCCGCTGATGCCCCATGCTGTGCTTGGCCGCCATAGCCGTTGAATCAAAAGGTGAACAAACGCATGGCGCCGTGTCCGTTGAAACAAACAAAGCCTAAGCCACGTCGCTCGTGAATACGGGCTGTCCCCTGTGGCCACCAATCGTTGGACAGATATCTCGGCACAGGGAGACTATTGCTTGCTACGGGGCCTAGAATGGATCGTATCTCTCCCCCGCGTTATTTGCTAGGCAATTCATTCGTTGGGAGTGGAGCTAAAGAGCCTCTTTTTGGTTGCTGCTTGCTGCACAAATTCAGGCCAGGCTTTGCCCAACACGGATTGGGGACTTGAGCATTTCCTCGTTTATGCGGCTTGTGCTGAGAGCTTTTGACATTTTGACCAATCTAAGTTCAATTATCCTCTAGGATTATCGCGTGGTGACGACGGTCTTGGCAAGCTTCAGCGCCCACGCTATATATAGCTTCGGCTGCCACTGCCACTGTCATTGTCACTGCCGTTCATCATCTCATCTCAACCTAAGACTGGATCCGTTGAATCACTTTTGAGCAAGCCTCAGCACCTAAATAATTCTGTCGGGCCCTAGCGGTCATTTCACTCGCTCGTATTCTTTTAATATCGAGATCCTACTCTTACTTCGCCTCGACGGTCTTTAGTCATAGTCGCACCTGCTTGCCTTACACACAGCATTGCCTACACAGATTGCACAGCTTTACAATCTCACTCAAAATGCGCACTCAAGCTATGGTGGCCGTCCTGTTCTCGGCGCTTGCCGGGCAGGTTTTTGGCCAGGATGACTCTCACGATGCTCCCAGAGTCAACGACAACCCTATTGGTGTCAAATACAAGGCCACCCTTCCCAAGGAGCCTTTCTTCAAAGATGCCGCAATCGACGGCAATGTCAAGGGCTTTATCCAGGCTGAAGCTCCGAGCGATGGACACGGCGTCCAGTTCAAGGTCCAGTTCAGCAACCTTCCCAAGGAGGGAGGTCCCTTCAGTAATTGTTCGACTATCGCTCAGCCAGACTGTAGCTGACTCTGCCATAGCATACCATATCCACGTTGAACCTGTTCCCGAGAATGGCAACTGTACCGCCACTCTCGCCCATCTCGACCCTTTCGCTCGTGGCGAGGAGCCTCCCTGTGACCCTGAGAAGCCTGCCTCTTGTCAGGTTGGAGACAACAGTGGGAAGCATGGAAAGATCACCAGCGACCCCTTCACAGCCGACTACATCGACTACTACGCCTCCACCAAGGAAGGCATCGGGGCCTACTTTGGCAACCGGTCGTTTGTTCTTCATTATGCCAACAAGACCCGTCTAACATGCGCCAACTTTGTGAACCTGAACCCGGGTGTTATCGACTCGAACTACACTGCCCCAGCTTACCTCCCAACACCGACTGAGACAGTCAACCCTGAGACGAACACTCCTACTCCATCAAGCACAGGCAGTGGCACTGGCGGCAAGCCTATTTCTACTGAGACTAGCGTTGTTAGTCCCAACGGTGCCTCGTCTGCTACGCTCCCGATCAACCTTGCCCTGGCTGGTGTCTTTGCTCTCATTCTTGCAATGTGAGGGAGTTGATGATGAAACTGTATTTGATGCGAGGGGCGATTTCAGTTCAGTTCGTTGAGGAAACCGAAAGTTTCTGACTTGTCTGGAAGCAGATTGCTGTTTCCTTGAACAAAGCTTGATTGATAGGAGCTGCAGGGTGTTCTAGTTTGTCAACAAGCAGACATAATACAAAGAAATCCTATTTGAAACTTGTCTTTACGACTACGGCGCATGTCCAAGTGAAAATCAATGCAAATCGGTGGTTAGGGATATTACCATGTAGGTTGGTGACCAGTAATGTACGGCACAGATGTGCCAGTTATCACTGGCCGATTGAATCAGGCATTGGATCTTATGGATGTCAGTTGATGAGTATCAAGGTACGTGAAAGAAATGCTGATCCATTTCTTAAATGGAAGTCTCGGAGGCTCTCGTTCCATTCCATTAGTTTGATAGGGACCTTTGTAAAAGCCCCTTGACCTTTCCCTAACTGTAATTACCTTATATTTATTGTGAGGAGCTTAGGGTAGCTGTACTATTCCATCGAGGTTATCAATTTATGCATCCAGGGCTTGCAAGAATTAACTACGAACCATGACTCATAGGAGTAATGCGATAAGTGAGGCATTAAGATAAATTTCAAGCACTATTTCTTGTTTCTTCGTTGAGCAGTGTTATCAGTCGATTGCTGTAGAAGATTCCGGACTCTCTTATACCCCTGCTCGCATCGAGCTCGACTGGGATTGCGCGCATCCTTTGAGTGGATGCCGGGCAACCATCGATCTCTTGCACTTGCATCTATTTTAGTGCACTTCTGCCCCCAAATCATCGTTCTCGAGGCCCGGCCCTAGCGCACGTAAGAATCACTAGAGCTGACCAGCCAAGCCTAAGGATTTTAGCTGCATCCATCTCTTCTTTCAGCTGGAGCCCAGGCTGTTCAGCTCATCAACATGAAAAGCATCTGTCAACATTCAAGCAAGGTTCAAGGTTCTCAACTTCTGAGAAGTCAAGCAGCTCTTGGCCGAAATCTCTTCAAACCCTTGCTACTGTCTGTAATTAGCATTGCTTCCTTGATTTGGCCTTGGGTAGCAGACTAGTATTCACTTCGGGAATGTTCTATCACATGGAAAGGGTCAAAACGAGAAACTGCCCTAGCTTGGACGTGCAGATACATATGCAGGCCAAGCCGAGGAACCGGGCTGATCTGATCAGAGTTGTGTCATATATTGATTCTGGTTGGTGAGCGGCTGTGAGCCAGGTGGTGACCTATCCCCAG